TTTCTCTCTCTCTCTCCCTCTCCCTTCCTCTCTGAAATCAATAAAGAAATATGTATTTAAAAAATTTTTTTCTTCTTATTAATTGCCTTTTAATGTGCATGAATCCATGCACTGGGATACTAGTGTGTGTGTATGTATATATATATATATATATCATTTCTAATAAAAAACAGTATGTGGTCTTCATAGGAAAATTATAAGACAGACATGCAAATAAAACATAGAAAGCACCAATTATCACTCTTGACACCTTTCAGACCACTTTCAAACCAATGCTGTATCTTAGTATGTTTATGTGAGTACCAGTATGCACAGGACTATGGCACTAGCAAGCAAGAGCATAGCTAAGTCAATTTGATGGTACTCACAGGAATTCCCGTCGCAATAAAATCTGTGGAATATGTACTTTTCTATTCTCTCTCAGTCCCTTTTGACCTATCTACCTCCTAATGACTATCCTCCTCCATCTAATGATCTGGGAGTAGATCCTTCTCTCTCATCTGACAACACGTGGAAGGAAGATTTATAGACTTAGGTTTGTTTGTAAACTATTCTCTGCTAACCTCTTTGTGAAAAAAAAGATGATTTTTCTACTTTCTTTTAGCTACAAGCGGTATATTCCAGAAACATTGAATAAGTCCATCAGACAGAGGAACCTTCTTACCAGGATGCGGATAAATAATGTCTTCAAGGATTTCCTAAAGGAATTTAACAACAAGACCATTTGTGACAGCAGCGTGTCCACGCATGACCTGAAGGTGAAATACCTGGCGACCTTGGAAACTTTGACAAAACATTACGGTGCTGAAATATTTGAGACTTCCATGTTACTGATTTCATCGGAAAATGAGATGAATTGGCTTAATCCGAATGACAATGGAAATGTTCTCTACTATGAAGTGATGGTGACTGGAAATCTTGGAATCCAATGGAGGCAGAAACCAAATGTAAGTGGTGATAGGTGGCTGACCAAAACAGAGCATCCAGATGTAAATCCCATTGGAGTTATCTGTTTGCATGCCCATCACCCTGTCAGCTGAGTTTGTTTAGGCAGGAGACCCATGTCATTCATCCTTTTTTTTTCTTTTTAAGAATTTTTAATTGATTTTTAAAGAGAGAGGAAAGGGGGAGAGAATGAGAAACATTGATGTGAGAGTGATATATCGATTGGCTGCCTTCTGCACGGCCCTTACCGGGTATGGAGCCACAACCCCAGCCTGTGATCTGACCAGGAATCAAACTGGCGACCTCTTAAGTGCAGATGCCCAACCAACTGAGTCACACCGGCCAGGGCTATCATTCATCTTTTATTGCATCCATGTAGCAGTAGGTCTAAATAAACATTTATTGGCTATTATAGGGAAATAGAGAAATATAATAACATATAATATGTAGTATTATAATAACAGCAGATATTTCCTGGGTGTTTACCATGTACCAAGAGTACTTTTCAAAGCATTTTACATGTATTAACTCATTTATTCCTTATAAAAACAAAAACCTTGGAAGGGAATACTGCCATTATCTCTGTTTTATAGATGAACACACAGAGACACAGAGAAGTTAAGAAACTTGTCCAAGGTCATAACTAATAAGTGATTATGCTAAAAATTGAACTTGGGCCTCTGACTCCATGAAATAGGATAATTGATTTTTTAATTTGAAGCTTCTTTCTGAAGTATTTGTTAAATGAGGCAATAGAGCAGAGTGGTTTCAAAGCACGGGTTTTAAACCTAAATGGAACTGGTTCAAATCCTAGCTTCACTATTTGTAGTTACATGGCCAAGGGTTACTTCACCTATATCAGCTACATGCTTACCATTAAAGTATATGTACCTGGTAGGGTTGTTGTGAGAACTAAATGTCATTTAGCACAGAGCCTGGCATATAATAAATGCTCAGTTAATTATAGTTGCTACCATCATTATTATAATTAATATTAAAGGTGGGATTTATTTTCTCTAGTTTTATTGTCTTGCTTAATTAACAATCCTAACACCGAGTGCTTTCTGTGTAGTAGGTACTGTGTTAACAGGAACTTATCTAATTCTCAAAGAACCTTGTGAAGATGTAAGATCTCTGCTTTATGGTTAGGGAAATGGAGGCACAAAGAGATGAACTAACTAGTGAAGTAACTGGCAAAGGCAGGATCTTAACCCAGATCTCTAGCCTTCAAGACTCATGCTGCACAAAATATTTAAACTTGTGCAGACGTGTATTACCCCCTAGATTATTCAGACATTTATACCTTCTTTTGAAAATTTTCACTTGAATATTGTAAAGCTGAGACAGTGATAGATTTGAGAGCGAGAACACGCGTGTTCTGTCCATAGTTGGAAAAAGCATGTTCTCTGCATTTGTTGAACATACGATTGCAGGACTACGGGGACCCGATTGTAGATGTGTGTCTAGTGCGCAGTTATTTGCCTTTCTGAGTTTACTTGTACATCATAGATTATGTAAGGAGTTAAGTCATTGTGCTCATTAAGGTCTCCTCTAGATGTAAAAGTCCAATATTCCCTGATAGGACCCAAAACTGCAATCTTAAGCCCACGGTGCCCTCTCCCAATTCCTCTGAAATCCAGGCATGCTGGCTTCTTCTCCCTGGACCTAGGCTCTGCACTGGTTTCCCAGAAGCAGTGACCTTCTTCCAATAGAAAATGAGAAAGCCCACTCAACTCTGTCACTTTTATGCACACTGTCAGGTGGTTCCTGTTGAAAAGGAAAAAAATAAATTGAAACGGAAAAAACTGGAAAATAAACACAAGAAGGACGAGGAGAAAAACAAAATCCGAGAAGAGTGGAACAATTTTTCGTACTTCCCTGAAATCACTCACATTGTAATAAAGGAGTCTGTGGTCAGCATTAACAAGCAGGACAACAAAAAGATGGTAAGTTTGCACCTGAAGCTATTCAGTCTGGGTCTGGTGGCGAGAGGGCGGCTTTGTTGAGGACAGTTATGCAGCACATGCTTTTCAGAGTTCTTGTCCCAAAGGGAAAACCTGATGACTGTCTTATTTAATCCAAAAAGTCCCTAATGCTGACACTGATATAATGTCAGTTGTTATACCTGTACATTCCAGTGCCTTTGTTTGGTCTTGTAAATGCATATCTGTTTCAGCATTCACTTCCCTCTCAAAGATATTTCAGCAGCAGTATTTATTTTACATAATTAGTGGATTGGAAGAGAAAGATGTGTGAAAGTCAGGGCTTCTCCCACCCTCACCCCAGGGCTCCTGCTCGGCCTCTGCAGAGTTAGAGGGCTGGTGGGAAGCCCCACTTTGCACTTTAGCAGATGTCGGGCTGGTGGCTGTGGTCTCCATGGCCATCCTCATCATAGTGGCAGGCACACCCAAGTGACTGTCGGACAGAGGAAGCGGTGCTCAGTCTCACTTCCTCTCTCCTGGTATCACTTGAGGACATGCTCTAGACAGGCAGGCCAGTTTGGCAGAGGAAGTGGGAACCCTACCAAAATATACATGTTTGTGTCAGGGATGTCACCGCTGACAACATGTGGAGAGAACATGCTGGGGAGGCAGGGTGCGCTCACAAATGAAGGTAGTCAACACCAGAGAAATACCATGTTTTGCCTAAAATTTGGCAAATACTCAGTGCTGGGAAAGAATCTGGCGATATGGTTTAGGACAGATGGTCACCCTTTTACATGTAGAGCAACTTTATTTTTATTTATTTTAATCCTCACCTGAGGATATATTTTTATTGATTTTCTTTTTTTTTTTTGCGAGAAAAAGAAACATCGATGTGAGAGAAAAACATCAATCAGTTGCCTCCCATATGATCCATGACCAGGGATAGAACCCTCAACCTAGGTATATACCTTGACCAGGAATCTAACCCAAAACGTTTTGGTGTATGGGATGACTTTCCAACTGACTGAGCCACCCAGCCAGGGGTATAACTTGTCTTTTTTATACACCTTTTGGAAAGCAGTTGGCTACATGTATTGAAACTCTTGAAAATATTGATGCTCTGACTGGTGTGCTCAATGGTTAGAGCTTTGCCCACATACCGAAGGGACGTGGGTTTGATTCCTGATCAAGGGCATGTATCTGGGCGGCAGGTTTGATCCCGGCTCTGGTCATGGTGTGTGTGGGAGGCAGCCAATCATTGTGTCTCTCACTTGGATCTCTCTCTCTCTCTCTTCCCCCTGCCTCCCTCTCCCTCTCTTTCCTCCCATCCTCCCTCCCTTCCACTTGTTCTAAAAATCAGTGGAAAAAATATCCTCAGGGGAGGATTAACCAAAAAAAGAAAATATTTATATGCCCCTTTATTCAGGTGCCTAGGGATCTGTCTGCAGAAACAGTGAGATGCAGGCATTGATTTGTGAGTGAGAATGTTTATCCCAAGAGCATTTACAGCAACAAAATACTGAAAATAATCTAAATATATAATCAAAAGAATGAGAAAATAAATCATAATTCACCTAAGTAGTAGGATATTATATAAATTGCTGGATTTTTTAATACTTTGGAAAAATAACTTTCTAAATGGAAAAGAGCAGAATATAAAGCAATCAATAGAATGGTACCAGTTTTTTTCAAAAAACGTTGAAAAGGTATGTATATACCTATACGTGATCTTAGAAAAATAATCTAATATTAACACTGATTATAGTGGGATTCTGAGTGACTTTAATTTTCTTATTCCCACCCTTTTTAAAACAATAAACATTAATTTCATCAGGAAGCCATAGTAAAAAATGAAGTACAGTAGAAGTGCCCAGATAGATGTTAGTGGGCAGATGGAAAACGCAAGGAGAAAATAAAAATAAGTGTTATTTATCCAGCACATTATAGCTATTAGTCTGTGTTGTATGCTGTGTCTCCATTGTCTTGTGTAGTCCTCACAAGAACCTTAGATGCAGGAATTTTGGCCCCATCTCCAGTGGGAGTCTGAGACTTGTGGAGAGGTGTGGAAATGTGTGCAGGACACAGGGTGAGAGAGTGGCAGCTCCGCCTGGGCTGCTTGGTTTCCAAGGCATTCTCTTGCCCAGAGACTACTGTGAGGAGCGGGGAGGTTGGCACATCGGTGGTCTGGCTCTTCAGTGCGGCCAGACCCTGCCGAAGCATGGCAGAGGAGCAGCAGCCAGCTGGTACAGTTTTCGTGAGCCTGCCCTGTCCTGTCCTGGCTGACAGTCAAGCCTGGCACCCAGTGGTACACCTGTCATTTAAGTTAGAGCTCACTCTGACCACCTGGGCCGGAGACTGGGCCACGCTAGTGCTGTGTAGGGAGCAGGAGGAATTGCGGAAGAAAGAAATACTTGATCTTCGCATTACTTTATTTTCTCGTACAAACACTAGCTCTTACTACATGCCAGACACCTCCTATTCTAAACACTTTACAAATGTCAACTCTTTCAATTTTCATATTGACCCTATAAAGTGGGTGGGTATGTTATTATCCCCTACAGAGGAGAAAACTGAGGCACAAAAAGGTTAAGTAGTTTACCATGGTCACACAGCGACTAGACTAAACCATTTGAAATTGCCAATATTTGACAGTCTTTGACCTATAAAAATGATTGCATGTGCTTAGACATAATAGCAAGTGGAAATACTGCGATTTGAATCCAGATGAGCTTGCTCCAAAACCTGCGGGGAACACTGTGCAGTGCTTTCTCTTCTTTATTTCACTCCTCCGTCCCTTCACAACCAAGGGGTTTCCAAGCTGTTCTTTCAGAAAAACATGATGCTAGCATGTTATAAAGTCATATCTTGATTCGTCTCTTCTCTCTGCATATCCTAGACGTCTCCCATTTCCATTCAGACTTCCCCTCTTAGGGAATGTAAGTGCTTCCGTGGTCTCTCTCATATGACTGGATGGAAGGTTACCCAAACCAGACCATCCTGAGTTTGCTCCTTGGGGATCTGCAGGTGGATGCCAGGTTACACCTGAAAGGAAGCACATTTAGCACAGTCTCCTTCCTGAGTTGCCATCCCTATGGTGGCCCTGCATTCTCTTGGCCTCCCTGGCTCACAACCCAGAGCACCCTTCCCTGGCATTACAGCTCACTGTGACTAGGACCCCTTCCCTCCATTCTGTTTTGTTGCTTTTATCCACCACCTTCCCCTTCACTGGTCTGTTTTTCTCTGTCACCAGCCTCTCCTTTTTTCAGTTCTGTGGAAAGTGATCTGGCATGAGGTCAACCATCTATGCTCTGCTTCCTTTTCTGTAAAACAGGTGTAATGCCTACTGAGTCAGTCATTGCTTAGTGCTAAGACAAGCACTTACACGCACTGTGCTCTCCCGTCTCCATTCTTATGCCTCTGCACCTTGATTCTGGCTTGCTTTCCACCTGTAACCAGGCGGCAGGTCTGCTTCACAGGTCTGCTTTCCACAGCTTCCCTGATTCTGGCTTGCTTTCCACCTGTAACCAGGCGGCAGCTTCTTCACAGGTCTGCTTTCCACAGCTTCCCTCCCTCCCTTCCTCACACACACACACACACACACACACACACACACACACTGTACCTCATCTGATAGTTTTTAGATAATAGCTGAGAAAGTGGCAAATGGTCAAAATCCTATATAAATGTCCTATTCTAGTGTGCCACCTGGGGTCATGCATTCTCCATTATGTTTTAAATATCTTCTCCCTGTGTACCTCCCTATAGAGTTAGCTGCTTAAGATGGTAGGCAGATGATATAACATGGGCATTTCTTCTCTCTCTCCACAGGAACTGAAGCTCTCTTCCCACGAGGAGGCCTTGTCCTTTGTGTCCCTGGTAGACGGCTACTTTCGGCTCACAGCAGACGCCCATCATTACCTCTGCACCGATGTGGCTCCTCCATTGATTGTCCACAACATACAGAATGGCTGTCACGGCCCAATCTGGTTGGTTTTCTCACCTTTACAGTTGCCTCTGGTGTGAAAAGAACCCACATTTTAGTGATGGGGAATGTGGCCTCCTCAGACACAGGTGTCATCAGCTGCTTAGGTTGGGGCCAGTTGAGCATATTGTTTAGTGCTGACCTGGTGCTCCTTGTCCATCTCTATTGTCCATTGGTCAGGCCTTCCTGTCCTCTCTCATCTTGGTCCTTGCAGCAGCTCCTCACCTCTATCCCTCATTGAGGTCTCCCTCACTTCTTCCCAGCTGACCAAGAAGTCTACACTTCCTAATCCCTTGCAGTGCCAAACAGTGTGGATTATTTAAGAAAGTAGGAACAGGTCTCAACATCAGACAGAGTAGTAAGTAATGGAATCCCGAGTCAGCTTGTTGTAAAGTGTCCGATAAATGACAGGGCGACCACGCCTTAGAGCTGGGAGGGGCCTTGCTGGACTCCCGTCCCTCCTGCATCTCAGAACTAGTAGCCTGTGTCCAGATAGCTCTGTGATGGGGCACTTAGTACTACATAAGCAGTCAGTAGATTCCAGCTCTAACAAATACAGACACGCATACCTTTCTGGTCTGGAATTGAATTTGCCTCTGTCACTAACTTCTGCCTGTTCATTGGAGTTCTGCCATTGGAAGCAACAGGGATTCAGTTTACTTCCTCTCACACATGACTGCCCTTCAGGCAGAGGAAATCAGCTGCTGTGTTTCTTCTCAGTCTCTTTTTCCAGATAAATATATTTGGGGAAGTGTCTCTTTAGCTGCCTTCCGTGTGACATGGCTCCCACCTTCTTCCCTGTCCTAGTTACCGGTGGACAGGTAGTTTGTTAGTGGGTGAACCCTGGCCTGGAGAGGCTCACAGGGAAATAGACACACAATGGATTGCAAGGGGCTGAGCATTATAGTGAAGCACGTCCTTCAAATATCCCAACCAGTTAGACTCAGGGCCCTGGCACTTGCTTTTCCCTTGGCCTGGAATGCCCTTCCTCCAGAATCTATATCGCACCACTTCCTTCAGGTGTTCCTCAAATACAGCTTATCGGTGGAGTCTTCCTGATCACTCTTCCTTGTTCTATGAGATAACAATCCCTCTTCCCCCTCTGCACCCTGCACTTCCTGTCTCCTTCACTCTGCTTTATTTTTCTTCAGAGGCATTTCCTCTTAACATACCATGTTTATTTCCGTGTCCATTCATTTCCTGTCGCCCACTTCACCATTCCAAATATGAGCTCCACAAAGGCAGGGCACTGTCTACTCTGCTCATTGCTTTTTCTCAGTCCCCATAGCAGGGCCTGGCACATCGTGGGCCTTTAGTAAGTGCTTATTGACTGAATGAATGTTAGATATCCTGGGGGGTAGGGGACCTGAAACTCATTGCCTAAAAGGCCTTCTCAGAGTAGGCAGCATTCCAATCAGATTAAAATCTGAAGAATTAATAATGGTTTGCCAGGTCTTAAAGAGGAGAGAGGGCTTCTCATGTGAGGGATCAGGTGTGAAGGTGTCAGACCAGGGAGCAGTTGGTCTCTGCCTTTCTCACACATGCTGACCGTATCAGCCCTCTTTTATCAGTACTTAGCAAGTACCATGTACTAGGTATAGTAACCTCATATATGTATTTATTTAGCAATTACTCACTGCCCTCTGAGTGCCAGGGCTGATCAGTCCTGGGAGTACAAAGGAGTTCAAGACAGGCATGTTCCCCCTAACATTTTTTTAATCTTCACTGATTTCTTTATTCAATTATTCACTCATTTATTGAGCAGCTACTATGAGCCCAGGGGTGCTTTAGTCATTGAGGTACAGCAATGAACAGAATAACCCTGAAATTGCACCTTCCTGAGCTCCTATTCTAGTGTGCCACCTGGGGACGGTGGGGAGGGACCCTCTACCACTGCATCAGGGGCAGCTCCCATCACCAGCTTGGGGTGCTCTTCAGGCTAGCGCTGGAGACAGCATGTATGGGGCAATGGGGAAGAACAGGCTCAGGGCCTTGGGCAGCATGCCGAGTCCTCTCTGGACCTTGGAGACTCATGATCTGTGTCAGGGCTCCTCAGCCTCTCTGCTTGACTCACCTGTCAACCTCAGTGGACTTGAGGACAGGTAACGTGATGAAGCTGTAAGACTTGAGGCAGTGCAGGGAAGGGTTCAGAGTGCTCCTGTTTGGTGAGCTCTTTCTCCCTTTGTCTCCCCGCCTCCAGCACAGAGTATGCCATCAATAAACTGCGGCAAGAAGGAAGCGAGGAGGGCATGTATGTGCTGCGATGGAGCTGCACGGACTTTGACAACATCCTCATGACCGTCACCTGCTTTGAAAAGCCTGAGGTCAGTTGAGACACTGGCTTGGGTCAAGCCTTATGGCCACAGGGGACACAACCTGGTCCGGGAGCTGCTGTGGAGAGGACTGCTCTTGGGGGTGGTGGTGGGGGTAGGAAAGTTTGGGTCTCTGAGAAAACCCCTGGCAGTTCTCCAAAAGGAGACTGCTCCCCAGCAGCCAGGCCCCATGACCTTCCCTCTTCTCTCTTCCCTCAAGGGACCCACGGCAGGGTCCACTGTGGCTCTGGAAAGTGGAACATGACCAGAAAACCAGTTCACACCAACACTCGCCAAGTTTAGAGTGGTTTATTTTATACGCAGTGCCCAGGTCAGCACAGGCCCAGAGCTGTGTGCGTTTGTGGCATTCACTGGTACAGTCAGTGCCAAGAAGGGCACCTGGGCGCTTGGCCTGACACCGTTCCTGCAGATGGTAGCTGCAGACATTTGAACAGACAGGCTCCTAGCCCATGTTTTGACAAGTGGAGATTTGTTGACTTGAAAACGCAGAATTGTTGCCTTGATCCCACTAGACCACAGATGTCTTTGTTATTCATTTAATTGTTTTAAAAGACAATGCATTTTACAGAATTAGTTCAAGTAAATACACGAGTGTTGATTGGGTTTAATATGAACTAGGAGAACTGGGGTGGGGCCTGTGAGATGGAAGCAGCACGCCAGCATATTGAAGACCTCAGACACAGAGAGGAAAAGTACCGAGGACCCTGGGGACTGGACGCGGGCGTGGGAGGAGGAACTGGCAGCAGGTACCCAGTGCTGCCAGGTGTCCTGGCCTTGCCTCTGGGGGCCACTGCCTGCCGGGGGAGTTTCTGTTCAGCAGGGCCTCACGCTGAGTCAGGCGCAGTGGCTGAGAACTTGTCCGCCTTGTCCTGGCAGGAGGCCTGTCTTCTGTAGTCATTAGTCTTTGGAGGAAGTTTAATATTTTAACCTGGCTGGATGCATGAGATAGCACAACCTCCTTCTAAGTAGCATCAACCTGTACCAAGAATGTCAGTGATTCAGTGACATGGCACACGTCGTGCCACCTTGCCTCGGGGAAACGGATTGCAGATATGAGTACTGTTTGTTTGAGCTCACTGGACACTGTGCTGAGCACCTTACCCAGGCGTTCTCGTGTAAGCCTCACCGACACCTAGCCCTGTGAGGGGGTGGTGGTAATCCCATCATCGAGGCTGAGGCATCGAGATTTTAAGTATTTTGTCCTAATTCACAGCATAAGTAGAATTTCCTGTCTTTCATTCTTAACCACTGAAATAGTTTCCTTTGAACCAAAAATGCCCCTGAAGGAAGACTTGTGCTTCTACTTCCTCCGTGACACGTGGAACCCTGAAACTGGACCAGACAGCTGACTGCCTCCTCCCAGGGTGGTTCTCCTCAGATAGACATGTAGCCTGGAAGGCCTCAGTTTGAGGGAGTTCCTGGATAAATTTGATATAGCAGTTACTATCTCATGCATAATAATATTGGTTAACCTTCATGAAGTGCTTACTAAGTTTTCTATATGCGCCACGTCATATCATCGTAGCAGCCGTTCTGAAAGTTCAAGAGGTTGGCGTTCCCATGCATGTCATCCTGCAGGTGCGGAAGAAGGGCCAGGGCCGCTGTCGCGGGATCGCTGCTGTTACACTGCCCCCCGAGTGTCAGCTCTCCTATCAGTGCCTTCTCCTCGACCCCCTTTTATCACTTACACATGTATTGTTTTGCTTCCTTGTTTATAAAACTAATTTTAAATTTTAAATAATTTGAGATACAGAAGTGTGACAGAGGTAACACTGAGCTCCTGTACACCCTTCACCAGCTTCCTCCTTCCTTCCCCATGGTACATATGCCCAACTCTTAAAGCATCGTTTCTGCTCCTTTTCCTGAATGGCAGATGCTGGGTGGCCAGAAACAGTTCAAGAACTTTCAGATCGAGGTGCAGAAGGGTCGCTACAGTCTGCACGGCTCGGACCGCGGCTTCCCCAGCCTGGGGGAGCTCATGAGCCACCTCAAGAAGCAGATCCTGCGCACGGACAACATCAGCTTCGTGTTGAAGCGCTGCTGCCAGCCCAAGCCCCGAGGTCGGTCCCCGCGCCCCTGCCCAGCCCTTCACTGACGCTCTCAGACCCAGACCCACCAGAAGGCTGCTCTTTGAAGAGGGCCCCTCCCCACAGTTTCTAAATGTTTTCCTTTGCATTTTCTTACATGTCTGTCCCCAACTCAAATCCCGTTCCTCAAGTGGAGCATTTTCTATAGAAAAAACACACACTTTTCTCCACATCCCCAAGCTGCAGAAAGAGGCCTCTTAGGATTCACAAGCAGAAACTTCTTTCTTCATTAAGATAAAATGTCTTGAGATGCCCTTGTCAGTGGTTTATCTTAGAAATGACCTCAACACATCTTCTGTGAGCCAAGAATTGTTAGATGCAAAGACTCAGAAATGTCTCACACCTGGTCCCTCCTCTCCAAGGGTTTCCTGTCTAATACAGAATATGTTGGCAGGGAAATGAGGCCACTGCAGGATAGAGCTTGTGTTTTAATTAACACACACATGTATCAGTCCCTGGGCTTATAAAGAAGTGATGGTCAAAGCCCTTGAGTTACAGGAAATGGAAGGCTGCATGGAGGAAGTGGATCTTGAGCCGAGTGGTGGCCGACGAGCAGGAGCTTGCCAGTTGGGGAAGGGCCTTTCCAGCAGAGCATGTGCAGGGCAGAGCGGCAGGCAAAGCCGGCTGCAAAGGGGAGCTGGAGGCCACTGCGCTTGGTGGAGTTAGAAGAAGGGAAGGGAGATGGGAGGGAGACACTTAGGATTATGGGTGGCCTCGAGTGCCACACAAGGAGCTGGAACTTTATCCTACAGGGAGTGGGAGCCATGGGAAGATCAAGGAGTAAAATGGACAGGAGGGGTGAGGAACTTGGCTGCTCTTTTGTAGGCTCTGGGAACCTGTCACGATTCACTGCAGGTGGAGTCATTACCTTTTCTAATGTGAGAACTGAACGGACACTGAGGGGTCCCAAGTCAAGTGCCCCATTGTATGTATGAGAAAACAGACTTGGAGAAGTGTTGAAAGTCAAGGTCAAGGAGGGGTTTGAATGGCAGGTTCACCTGGATGCCAGATCCCTTGACTATTGTTTTTTTTTGTTGTTGTTCCCCCACCATGTGTCAGATTTTTCCCTTTATAGGGGACATACCTCAAAGAAAGGGGAGCGCAGTTGTTTCTGAGGCCACAGTAAGAGTGATCGAGGTGCTTGGAGGTGTCTGCCTGAGACATCCCCTGTTCTTGTAAGGAAGGGCAGCGAAGCGACCAGGACGGAGGGCCTGGGTTCTTGGTGTGAATCACTTCTTGGTTTCCCAGCAAGGGACTGTCACTGAATTTGGTGGAAGAGGAAAGACTTGTTTTCTGATTGATCAGACAGGGTTCCTGCCAGCCTCACGGAATAATGGAGCCTTTGTTTTTGTGCTCAAAGCAAAGGTAAAAACTCACCTGCCACTTGGCCGTGAGACCTCAGAGGGAGTTAAAAACTTAAAGCCCAACCACCCTCTTTACTCACATAATCTCTCCTTCCAGATATTAGAAGCAGTTTTTATTTCCCAGGAGTTAGTGGTCTCTGGGTGAGGTTGAGGACATGGAGAAGAGCAGCCCCAGGAAGAGACAGGTGGTGGCAGGGGGGAGGCTGGGACATGGCTCTTTGCAGGCACCAGCTGGGGAAGTCTCTGCTGTAGACGCCACCCCTACTAGCCCAGACATGGGAGCAGCAGCTGTGGAGGGAGAAGCACAGGAATGGAACAGAACCCGTGTGTCCTGGCTTTCTGTTGAGGCTCCAGGAACACTGCGTTGAATATGTTTAGTGTCAGTCTGTCTGTCCCACTTGGTGTGAACTCGTAAGCCAGGATCTGGGTCTCACTGACCACTCTGTGACTCCTGGGAAGCTCAACACCCAGCATAGGATCGTCATTCACTAATGCCTGTCAGGTGATCATTACAGCCCAGCCGGTGTGGCTCAGTGATCGAGCATCGACCCACGCACCGAGAGGTCACCGGTTCGATTCCCGGTCCGGGGGCGTGCAGAAGGCAGCTGATTGATAGATGGATGTTTCTATCTCTCCTCTTTCTTCCCCTCTCTCTAAAATAAAAACATTTTTTTTAAAAAAGCGATAATTACAGCAGTAGCTACCATATTGGTGGGTACTTACTAGTCCCAAGCAGTATAAATGCATATTTGCATTTCTTCCATCTACATCATAGTTCTTTGTAGCTTTTATAAAGATGAGGAAATTGAGGCTCAGAGATGTTCAGTGACTTGCTGAAGGCCACACAGCTAGTAGTATCAGTAATACTTACAACAATAGTAGCAGTGATGATGGTTACAGCTTCCATCATGTGAGCAATGCTTGCAGTTTGCCAGGCAGTGTTTGAGGGTCTTTCATGTTTTAAGTCATTTAATTTTCAGAACAACTCAGAATATGTTGTTATCCTGATCATACTTGTCCAAGATCACTTAGGTAGAGGAAGAGTGGGGGTTTGGAGTCCAACTTCTAACTCCAACTTCAGTGATCTTTCCCCTTGTTGCACTGTCTTTGCAAAGGTACAGCCATCAGCCCAAGACTCTGGGGCAAGGGACAATTCTCC